AAATATTATTAGGAGCAGACATATAACCTTCTATTAATATTCCAGAAATATTACTTAATATTAAATAATATGACTAAAATATTATTAGGACATTAGGTCTAATATTCTAAGAATATATCCAGTATATTATTTAATATTGATATTAAATAATATTACGCGATTACATGGAATGCACTCGAACGAGCCGACAAACTCCAGTTATCAATATCGCGCAGACTGAAATAAAGATGGGACCGCATCGCGATAATAAGAGTCATCGGTGAACGCTCGACAGTATACACGCGAAGAATGAGCAGATATGCCGATGAGTCTATGTAAAGCACGTTCCAAAGTTCGCAAGTACGCATCTGATATGTCTGAGTATGAAAGTGGGAAATAAAAATTTTACACGTGTCAAGATTGGGTCGATTCGAACGAAGCCTTCGAAAGCAAAATAACGCATTATCGGACGATAAACTCGCACTCTTTCAACACGATATAGATAGATATTATTGCATATTTTTATCATTCATGTTACGTGTAACATTTTCTAGATAACAGATTCGTTTCGTTCGGTTCGAAATGTTGATGCTATTTCGACACTTTTACGTTACGGTTCGCGTCTACTTAGATGTTTTACAAACTAATGAAAACTTACTTCGACAACATTGACACTTTTTTATTAACTTTTCTCTTGAACCTTTTAATTCTCCAAATTTAATTTTAATGCTATTTTAATGCTAAAATAATAAAAGTGAAAATTTAAGAAATCATCAGGATAAAAATAAAACTAAATTCTATTATCAGAATTGAAATTGTGTGCGAACCTATTTTATTATCTTAGCTACGACTGTGTTATAAAATTGACGGTTTATCAATATCCGTCACGATAAATATCAGTCGTGACGGATATCGCTATTTATCACGAGAAATTCTAATAAAGTTCTAATAAAATTGATTAGAACACGTCGCGATTGAACAGATATATTATGCGCAAATGCGAGGGTTTTCTAATACATATAGCTCTTTTTCAAACTATTATACGCACTTAAATCAGCACCGCCGATAGTTTTTTTTCCCATATCACATTAACGTGTGTTATCAACTATCATTTATCAAAAACGTTGAGATATCGGAGAGCCCGAATACGCCTTCCAGCTCTCGCTTAAAATGAAGACGGAAAACTAGACAAATAATTATGTCGGGTTATATAAATTTTTCTGTACAAATTGCAATCGAATCGGTCGAGCGATGAACAAAACTCGAGCCTGATTGACGAACTGATAATTATAATAATTCGAGTTGCAAAAGTCATCCAAGCTAAAACGTAATTGCACATATGATACAGATGAACATAATTTTGCTGAAGAAATCAAGACAGTTCTGTCAACAACCTATATGCAACCATGATTGTTTGTAATTCCAGTTGTTGCGATCGATTTTTTTTTCCCTCGATACTGAACCTCGCGCTCTTTATTGCTGTAGCATGCGCAGTCACGGCGATCGTGTGTCGCATGTAAATCCTTCTTGAATGCGATTCGAATTAATTCGCGACATCTGCTTATTGTTGTGGCCGCGATTGTGTCCCATTTCGATCGCACGGTTATTTACGTGCATGCAACGATGATGCAATAATGAAATCGATTAACAGCAGAAGGTAAGTGTGATCGCGGAAAAACACCAAACGTTAAATTTTTTCCTCGGCTGATGGGTATCCAAGCATTGTAGTCTAATATTCTGCGAATTATTTTCGCGATATTATCATCGTTCGTCGCTTATAATACGAAATAACGTTGCGAAATAACACGTCTACGATTATATCCGGCAAACAAATAAATATGCATCAAATCTGTATATCTGCCGATAAGAACTTATTAATAGTGAAGACGTTACATTATGTCGAGCTTATCTGCTTATTCTCTTAGCTCATTATGTCGAGCTTATCTGTTTATTCTTTTAGCCCTCTGATCTTTCTACAAACTTATCTGCTTTCGTTATCTCACTCTGTTTTCCTCGCGTTTCGCGTTATTCTCACTCCGAATTTAATAATTTTTCTCTTCAATTCAGTAAAGTGCCAGTTTTCTCATACCTGGTTGCTCATGTAAAACGTTGCACGTTCGTTCGTATAAGATACCAGAGCAGCCTCTGCTATCTCTCTCAAAATTAATCGACGATTGTCCATCATAATTCGATGAACATAATCGATCATTTCATCCATTATTGCGGTTTTTGATCGTCCGGAGCGTTCCTAGTCGAAAATGCTCATTCTGCCACGTTCAGCAACCCGGGTTTTCACGTAAATGAAAGAGCAACATCTCCGTACACTGAATCTAATTCAGCTTTAATTTCCGTAGGAATTTCCCCTTTCGAATGAAGGAATTTTGTCAGCGCGATACTCCAATTTCTCCATTGTCGACAAACTGGCACACAAAAGGCTGTCAGAAACAAGCCGCTGGAATGACATCAAACTTAGCTCTTTGTGTTTCTTTGTGCCATCTATCGGACAAGTATTGAAATTTCACTGAACACTGTTCTTTCTTCAGATCAGGTCGTGAACTTTTCAATCTATATCCTTGTATATGAGATTGAAAGCAGAAAAGCGGAGGTAAAAATCTCACTCCTCGCTTGTTTCAAGTATACACGCTTCTAATAGAACTTTAACATCGAGAATCATTTGGAGAAATGCGCTTTTAATTTGTCGGATTTTATTGAAAAAGAGAAGAAAAACAACAAGAACACAAGAAACAAGATACCGTAAATTCGTCGCGCGAAGAATAAAGATTTCGATGATGAGTGATGAAGAATCGGATCGACGGTGTGGGAAAGTGAATGAGAAATGGACCGGAACCGAGTTTTACGAAGCCGAAGAGGTTGCGCAACACGAATAACAGCGCCTGTCCGAGTTAATTGTGATTACATCACCATTGATGCGACTTTCGTGGATCGATGAGAAATCGATGAACAATTTAGTAGAGAGCAACGCTTTCGCGTTGAGAACGCATCTATATACGCGTGAGGCGGTGATATGATTAAGACCTCTTAGCAGGAAATAATCACTGCGAACCCGACATACACGGTTACGTGCAATTCTATAATTATTGACCAACTGTGATACGTTACGTGTAACATAACTTATACAAAAACGAGACAATCTTACTGTCGCCTGAAGCTCGTTTCTCATTATCTTTCTTTTTCCCTTTTTTTTCGCTCGCATTCGTCTCATTCGACTTCTTTATAGCTGATAATCAGATCTTCCGACAACAACCAGGGAAAATACGACAGAATCGATCATCAGTTCGGCATAAAAAAGAAAGTGTCTTAACAGCCATATATATATATATATATATATATATATATATATATATGGCTGTTAGGACACTTTCTTTTTTATTCCGTTACATCTTTCTACATCAGAAAAATATTGGTTCATATTGGAAGAAAAAATATACTAATAAAGTATTATCTATAATAAAGTATTATCTATGTAGAAAATATTACTTCGAAAAAGTCGGAAACGCGACCGATGACTGCTATTAGATGTAACTATTTACTTAACCGTTTGAGTCCCGGGGGGTATTGAAAAAACACTGTCGAAGAATCCCAAACAACGCAACCGCGCTTTTACTAAATGAGTGAAAAGACCCAAGCAGCGCGATAGCGCTTGTTTTATTTTACGTCGAGAGATACCAAGCAGTGCAATAGCACTTCTTGTATATGTTAGGTAACGTGATTCTCGTCTATTATTCTACATATTGTAAAATGTACTATTTACATTAAAAGGAGCTGTGTGATGTACTTGCGTCAGTAAATCTGAGCTTGCGACTTCGACAATCGGTAACGCACCGTCAGTTGTCCACAATGCTCGAAATGTGCTGGGTTTTCTCGACGTAAAATCTCAACAACGCGATCGCGCTGCTCGGGACTCAAACGGTTAAGTCAAACAATATTTTCTCGAATGTACATATTTTCTTCAATGTGAAAAAACAAGTGTAAACTGGCCGCAGGCCTGGTTTGTATAAATAATTTCGAGCACTATGTACAATTTTTATTTTTATTTATTATTATTCTGTACAAATAACTTGTTCTAATCGTTTGCACTGTGTCCGGATATGATTGACGATTATCCGATAAATCTATGAATTTCGGGGTTGAGAAGTGACGAAATACCTGTCTAATGCCGTTACCGATTAAAGTTTTTTTCCTAGTTATTTTTTCCGCTTCATAGAAACTCGATGCACACCTATAACGCTTGAACGCACTAAACGAAATATCGATTCGATACATCAAATTTAAGCATCCTAATTCGTGACGACTTCTGAAAATAAAATCATGCCATCACCAGAAACGAAACGATCTGCCGCGACATTGGCAGTCGTAAGTGCGTCGTTAGTCATTTAGTCACGGAGTCGCCCGAGCAATTATAAAGAGCACGCGAAGTTAATGCCTCTGCGTGACGAGCTGCGAAAACAGTTTCTTTAAATGGACTATTAATTAATCTTTCGATAATCGACTGTTACTTTCCTCGTTGCGTGCGCAAACACTTTTTTTACCGATCTTATAAAACAACAAGATAGAGTATTATCTATGTAGATGATAAAAAAGAAACAAGAGAAAACATTACTTCGAAGAAGTCGGAAACGCGACACCGAGTGATCACATGTCGCCAGCAGATCACGCGGCGACATGAAAATAATTTGGTCACGGACAAATTCGTTTACCGTCGTTCGCCATCGTTAGTCTGCGACTAATCTCAATACTCCAAGTTTCTCAAGCATTGGCTATGTGCGTACTATAAATAGCTCTCGTTATATAGCAGTCATCGGTCACGTTAACAACCAGAAGGGCGCAGAAATGTGTTTTAATTCGATACTCCCCCTCGCATTCGTCTATGGACAGCAAGGACTCGGACCGAATGAAAATATCGGTCCGCTGCTGGCTCCGGTCTACTAAAAATGTTTAATAAAGATTCCGGTTTCGGTTTTCTGGACAATGAAAATACTGGTAAATCGTTTAAGTTACGGCTTTTTCGGCTCCGGTTCTTCAAACTTGTTTTCTTACTAAAATTTTTATCGACTTAAATTATTTATATATATATATATGAAACAATCAATCAACGTTCTGCTCTTTCGTGAGAACTAGAATTTTATTATTAAATTAAAAAAAAAACGGTTATTTAAAATCACAGAATAAGAACCGAAATAGTGAACCGAAGAGAACGACGAAGCGAAAAAAAAAGAACGCTTCCAATTCCGGTTCCGGTTCTGTAGGCTTTATAAAATTTCGGTACGGTTCCGGTCCGACAGAAATATCCGGTTTTCATACGGTTCTCGTCGATTCCGGTTTCGGTCCGGGGTATCCGGTGGACAGTGATATTCACGTTTGTCTCTGTTATCAAGAAAGAGACAAGCAACGACAACTAGCTCAGCGCGGGCTAGTTATTAAATATCGCCGCATCGTTGGTTTTATTCTACGATATCGAAATCAGTTCGTTATAATTCTGTGTTCCCACCGGTTGTTGATTTTTTCTTTTCCTATTCATCGCGCAATTATATTAATATTTTGGAATGGTCGTACCGCTGAACGATAAGGAAAACGATTAGCTTATCTGTTAGTTGCATTTGCATGAACGTCATAGAGCGCGACGGCAAGCATAGCGACGGTCTAATCGACGTTCTCCCTACTATGATATAAAATAGCGAGGCTTGACAATGCAATGACAGTTGATGTTGGAAGCGATACGCGAACGTACGTTGAGAGAATATATATATATATATATNACGTATGTACGTGTGTGTGTAGGTGTGTGTTCTTATATCGAAGATAATCGAGAAATATAGCTGTAGCGGGTAACGATAAGGTGAGCTTTTTTTCAAATGAAACAGTGCCACGATGGTTATCTTTGCGCGCAACAGTATCATCAAGCTATACAATGTATGTTACAAATAGTGGCCAATAGTGTCATTACATTTTGTTTCCTCGTTGAAAAAAAAAATAACACAAATATAAGTGGACGATAATAGACCGAATTTATTCGATCGTTTCGAATCAAAAACAGCTTTAAGCGTGCGACACGAAGCATGAATTCTAAATGAAAATATTTGAAGTTCGTAGAAGTTATTGGAGATTTTTTAATCGGAAGGAACCCCTGTGGATATGCAAAAATAGAGAGGTTTCTCCGCATTTGGTATTCCTGTTTGTATTTAATTTTGATTAGCTCTACGAAACAACGTACGAAACATCTGTTCAAATTTTGTTTTGTCGAATTAAACCACAATATTTGATGGGAGAAAAGCATTATTTGATGCGTTGTATTTTTATTTTAATATATTATATGAATCAGCCATCGTAAATACTTAATCGAGAATCTAGAAGCAATTATAGCATCATTGTATTATTAATGTATATCTCATCGATAATCTCCACATATATTGACTGTTTTTGCGTTTTCTCAGAAAGTACTACATAATTATGTTTTTTGAACACTATAAAAATATGACTGAGTCACGTTTAAAGTGTCATTTCTTAATTATCATGAGTGAAAAACTTAAGTCAAGATTACTATTAAACGATTACGGCTATTGGTAAAAAAACTTTTTAACAAAATAAGGAAATGATGAATTTTCTTTGTACCGAACAATACAAATATTTAAAGAGTCAAACAATTGTATTCGGTAAACATTGGTTGGACCACATGCCGATAAATAAATTTCCTCAAATTCAACTACATTTATTAATATCAAAACTATCGACGATTAACGCCTGTATCTATTTTTATTAGAACGGTTTAAATGATAGATTTTTGCAGAAAATATATAATTCAAGAGAAAATATTTTTACTTATTCATTTTATTTAGTTCTATTCAACGTAAATTAAATGTTATTTTTAAATTTTACTTTTTAAAATTAAACTTTATAATTAAAATTAATTTTTGCAATAAATTACAAACTAATCACTTGGACTGCTTTGATAATTCTAGTATAATAAATTCAAAGAAAAAATTGTTCTCTATGTACCTATTAAAACCTGATTTCTTCCGTTACTTTCGAGTAACTTTTAGCTTAAAAGAAATTTCTTTTTTACAGCCTCCGACGCACATAATATTCAAAGTGGGAAGATCAAGTTTATGCAAGAAACTCAAGAAAATTCCAGTTTCATTAGGACGTTCCGCATAATAAATATATTATGTATGTCTATGCTGTACAGAGAAAAATTACCACAAAACGTTGTAATGTTAGATTATACCGAAATTATAACTAAAATTATGATATATGTTATAATTTTTAGTGATGTGTTTCATTGTACACATCACTAAAGATTACAACTAGGGACTCGGACAGAATAAAAATATCGGTCTGGTTCCGATCCACTAAAATATTTAATAAAAGTTCCGGTTTCAGTTCCGGTTCTGTAGGCTTTTGTAAAATTTGGGTACCGGTTTACGGTCCCGGTCCGACAAAAATACTGGTTTCCATACGGTTTTCAGTCCCAGATTCATGATTAGAACGCGCATAATCATTTTAACTATAATTCCGATTACAAAATTTTGTGATAATTTTTACTACAGTACAAATACGGTACATGAATAATCACGTATATAAGTCGAGCCATCGAGATAACCGTCGAGATAACCTCCATGTACAAATACGGTACATGAATAATCACATATATAAGTCGAGCCATCGAGATAACCGTCACAAGCTCCTCTTGTTTTAGGACAAAGACACCGTTGTCGAATAACAATATGCTACCGGTCCAAGATCTGGAGACGTTGCTGAGGAACGCTTACGGCCCCGACTTTCAAATAAACGACATGGAGTGGGAGCCGTTGACAGACCCGGGGGAAAACTTCGGTAGTGTGATATTAGCGATCAACATCAATGCCGAGCTGAACGAAAAGAAGAGGACTCTGAACGTAGTGGTCAAACTGCCACCGAAATCGGCCTATCTGTTAGAACTGTTCGACAGTCCGTTAACCTTCCAGAAGGAATTGGCCTTTTACAGTACGGTGGCGCCGGAGTTCCTGAAGCTGCAGAACGAGAACGGAATACCCTGGGAGGAACTGAGCGTGATTACTCCCCGCTTCGTGGCCGGTAGGCTCGGCCTGCGAGACCCGCAGCGTTTCGACGAACAGGCCGCTATTATTCTGGAAAATCTCAAACATCAAGACTACACCACGCAGGACCGTATCGTCGGGCTGGACAAGGTGCACATGGACTTCGCGATCGGCCATCTCGCCAAGCTGCACGCCATCACGATCTGCATGAAGCTGAAGAAGCCGGAGTTCTTTCAAGAAAAGGTGTTGCCCGCGCTGGACTACTCACTGAACGAAGGCGCGAAGAACGGTATGCTGGATATGGTGACGAAGGCGCACAACGATTACAAAGAGATCCCGGAGGCGGAGCCATACCTGAAGAGGATCGAGAAGATGATCGAGCATGGATACCGCACTGTCGTAACGCCGGAGGAACCCTGGAGGACGTTGGTGCACAACGACTTCTGGGTGAACAATATGCTGTTCAAGTACGACGAGGCGGGCAAGCCAGTCAACATGAAGATAGTGGACTTCCAATTGACGGCGTACGACTACGGCGTGAACGATCTTATATTTTTCCTCCTTTCGAGTTCCCGGAGGGAAGTGCTCGACGACCACCTCGAGGATATGATCGACTTGTATTACGACTCCTTCGTCCACTGTCTGAAATCGTTGGGCGTGGACGCGGCGATGTTTCCCAAGGACAAATTTATAGAGCACCTAAACCAATGCGCGCCCATCAAGTTCAATCAGTGTATCATGATGGTGCAGGTGATACAGGCGGCACGCGGCACGGTCACGAACACATCCATGGACGACGAAAAGGGTGTTTTTGCCGGCGGCATCAACGACGCCAATTACAAGCAGAAGCTGCTGCACATATTGTCCACGTTCGATCGAAAGGGGTGGCTTTTGAATTGATCGCAAGCGAGAAGTTTTATTTATGACAAAATCCAGCCCTATCCCGTGTTTGCCGGTATCTAGATGAAATTATCTCCTTAAATTTAGAGCGATTACATTGACGAATTACTTAATCGTTATGCGATTTCATGATTTGCATAATTTTCATTATAAATTTTTATCAAATCTCTCATGAATATCATCTGAAAAATTATTTAGATAAATAGTGTTTTTTATCTCTCATCTAGATAAATAAAAATCAAAATAATCTTCCTCTCATCCGAGATGAATTTTTCGGATTTCCATTTCATCTTCATCTAGGTGAACCTAAAATCATCTAAGGGAAACACTGGCCCTAACCCGACGTAAAGCAAACGTTGCAAACGTGCATAGCATCAAAATAATTCACAGATATTTCTTTCCGTGCGATCAGCAGGTGTACAAGATTAGACGTAAGTCATACGGATGACAATATTTTAAAACAATATCAGGTGGTAGAAAATTTAAACTAGCAACAGACAAATAAGATTGCTAAGTCAGTAGTTCTTAAGATCATATTTAGTGATAGAAATATACTGATATAAAAATAACGCAATTCTCTTTTCCTTACATGACGTTAAAAATATGGCCAAAACTTTCGCATTTTTGAAGGTATTTCGCTGGAAATGAGCGATTTTTATTGTACATAACATGTATTTAGGTACGTGATGTCTAGTATCGGCGGCGAAAAGGTTGCGCTACCTATCATAGTTTAATAAATTCTAGGATGAGTGAAAATCGTTCGAATGTTCCGGTGATTTTTGTGCGAAAAGTTTGCGCTACCTATCATAGTTTAATAAATTCTAGGATGAGTGAAAATCGTTCGAATGTTCCGGTGATTTTTGTGCGAAAAGGTTGCGCTATCTATCATAGTTTAATAAATTCTAGGATGAGTGAAAATCGTTCGAATGTTCCGGTGATTTTTGTGCGTTCCCGGGTATACCGATAAAAAATATGCTGCTATTGCTTCGCCGTTGATTGTAGGCAGCTTTGCTTCAGCTTAATTTTTTAAAGCAAGCACATATCGTTGACTTTTATATTTGAAAATATTTGCATTAAATATCTTCTTTCCTCAATCATTAATAAAGACAATAAGTTTTACATGTTACACTGCAGAACCAAATATAGAAGACTCGCGTAAATGTTGTAAATTATAAAGAAGCGCTTTATATGTGCACTTATTAATAAATACTCGTTAATAAATGTTATTATGTCCGTAAATGTAAAATATGTGTAAGTAAGCTTAACATACGTAAGTTAGCATACGTAAAGCTTAACGTGAAACAATATATATATATATATATATATATAATTTCGTGCAAATTCTTAAGAAACACATTTTATTTTTATTTTAATACGTTAGAACGCACATGTTACTACTGTTATTATTAAAACGTTATAAATTACCTTAAATTGCGCGTAAAATTAAAAGCATGCTCAAAAGCGATATAGTATAAAGTACTCACTTCCAGAAAATCGGCTACGGTATCGGGCAGGTTGAACTCTCTGACAACACGCAGTCGCACTTGCCGATTAATTTCATGCCGCGAAGAAAGCGGCAGGCTTATCGCTCGTTGACAGCTGGGCGACTGCCTCAATTTTTGCTCCCGTTTCAGCATCAAGGCCATCGTTGCAGAATCTGGTACTGTACATGTACAGTAACATATTATTTCTTGTATTATTATTAGTCACAAACTCGTCTATCGTTGTTTTTTTACTCTTTTCTCAACCTTTAATTTATAATGTGTAATTTAATCTTAAAGTTCGGTCGTCTCCTCGCAATCTTGATTAATGACGTCAGAAGTGAGAAAACGTATATCCAAAATCCTTGCGGAGCATATGTTGAAAAACAAAAGGATGTATCCATGAAATTATACTTGCGATCGATCGAGCATATTTAGCAAATATTCCGGAAACATTTCCTTTACTTTAAAAATCGATGAACTTAAAATGAATGTAACAAAATCACGAAGTTATCCTCCACCTCCTTCAAGAGAGAGCGGAGGAGAATTTTGGTTTACATAGTTAGAAAAAGACCCTTCGAATACATAAAACTTTCTCATGAACAACTTTCTGCTACGACAAACAATATTTTTCAATTTTTTGGGTAATACTTTACATGGGCCACCTTGTATAAAGAAGTGAGAAGTGCAACACATACATATAATCAGATGCACAACATAAATAGTACACATAGCAGAATACGAAAGAAAATATATAAGAAAATTAGAGAGTAGAGCCAAGCGAGGAAATCGACAGACAATCAGAATTGTCACCGTCCTTACGACGAAGATAAACGAAAATCCTTTTTCTCACGACAAATTGCATCTCTCGTGTCGAAGACAAGCACAATAGTAGCGACATTTACAGCTTTATTTCCACTTTTATCAATTTTATCCCGGATAATATGATAATTTAAGTTATAATACCTGGAAATGCCGCGGCAAGAACGTCGACACCGGCGGTACCCATAGCTCTTGGCTTTTCCTCAACCATGTACAGCGCGTCCGGTATATCCGCTACGTATCGCGGTCTCCGTAGTCTTACCAGATCAGCCTCTTGGACCATTTGTTCCTCCACCAAGGACTGATAATGAGTAAAAACACATTTAATCAGCTGACCGACAGCTGTAACTTCCGATTTCGTGGAGTGTCACAGGTTGTTACCTTGATCTCTTCGTAGTACGGCATAAACAACCTCGGCCTCACGAAAAATCCGTTCTTCTTTCCACCTCTTATCCACGCGTTCATCCGCAAATTGTCCTTTTCGTCTCCTATCATGTGGCTCGGTGGGGTAGAAACTAAACCTCTTCTGATGGCCTGATGGGGTCGAAATTGAAAAGTTATCTCCGGGTGCTAAATTTGATGAGAAATAAGCGGGAGGAAGAATGTGTGCTTCAAAGGGTTAAATAACTGCTTTATATATAGCAGCCTTCGCCCTAATCAGTACACATTAATCCAGCGTACCACGGCTTATCGAATTTGCAATTTGAATTCAGATAACATCTCAAAGGGGATACGTACTTGCGCCAATGCTTCGCTATTCGGCGGCAATATGTGATCTATTCGGACAAGCGGTAGAAGTTCACTGAGTATCTCCCGCAATTCGATGTCGCTGAGATCTCTTTTCTTGATGCCTTTCCGCGTCACCGAGTGCACGGTGTGACTGAGCAAATTGGGCTCCCGATCCTCCATACGACGTACTAATTCATGCTCGCCCCACTTGAGTACCGCCTGCAGTATCTCAAGTTCGCTCGCTTGTAAAAAATGACTCTGTAAAACGTTCGCTAAATGGGCGTGATCTAACTGATGGAGGATCGAGGACGAGGCGATCGGTTGGAATTCCTCCCTCAGATAATGCAACGCCTGTCGGTGCACCCATGATGATCCGTGAGGTTGACTGCCCCACCTAGGCGATACAACGCAACTTCTTAGCAACGGTGATCGATTATCTATTTTATATTAAGATAATTGGCCCGTGAACCTATTTTCTACGGAAACTTTTTCACACTTTAAGCATATCAACAGAAACATGACCTACACAGATATGCAATTGGAAAAAAAATTGGCAGTACTATAAAATGCGTCTTCTACATGTATTTTCTATTCGTTTATAAATAATCGAAAGATTTACTTGAGAACGGTCGGTAACGATTCTAAGGTGAGACACTCCAGAATAATATCTTCGCAACCCTGTGACAGTATATCAAGCTCGAGAAATCGTCCAATCTGATACAATTCCATCGCTTCCTCCAAAGGACTTGGCCGCATTCGACCCGTGTGTGTTAGAGCTTGAACCTGAAAGTTGCAACAAGAAAAAAACTGAGTTATACTCTCTCTAAATTTCTCACAATGAAATTTCACTTGGAAAGCAGAGTGACTACCTGAGTCACTCCCTTACTACGTTACTTATATTGCCCTAAATATTTTAGTGGACCGGACCGATATTTTCATTCAATCCGGGCCCCTGGTTTTAAATGAGATACCACTCGAAGAAATAAAGAAAAAGATTCTCTCTCCCTCAACACCAAAATGCTCACCTCTCCTAGACTGCCAGCGCTGTTACCACAACCACTTGTTCTTGTTATTAACGATAAGTCAACGGTATCTAAATATACAGCGTGTAGCAGGACTCTGGCGTATCGTTTAGGTATTACACTTTCATCCAACACTATTCTAGTAGGTATATGAAGCGCCCTTTCGGTGTGATCCTCGCCCGATCTCGTCCGTCTCTGTATCAAATTTCTGAAGAAGGGCGATCTCGCGGAAAGTATTGCTTTGTGACATGGCAGCTCCAGCTTCGGACGGAATCCGTACTCGGAACTGCCGCTGTCCGGTCTCTGATAATCGCCGTCCGAGGTGAAGATGAGAGCGGCGTCCGCATTCTCGCCGGACTCGAGCAAGTATCTGAGATCGTGTTCCAACGGATTCGGTGTCCCGAACTCCTCGCCGAGCCGCCGCAGCAGATTCGCCTCCAACGCTGCGTCGTGCGGACAGATGTCGCCGGTGTAAAGATACCGCAGCAACGCCGAGAACATCGACACCTCGAGATGCGGGGTCCTCAACTCCAAACATATCCTAGCGCCGTATCCTGTAATTCAATGTAAATCAATTGAAAGAAACTTCAAATCCTTCGATGTAAAACGAGATACTTTTTAAATGATCGTGGAAAGATTTAAACATTCATTATTACGGATGGATGAAATGTTCTCAAATATAGATACATACCAGGGCAGCCTCCCAGCAAATCCCTGAAGTACGGACATCTGGCGGAAAGTACGGCTCTATGAACGGGAAAACACGCTCCTCTATATACAAGATCAACGTCGGAACAATGTTTGTGGTCGTACAGCATCGACAGGTCTTGCTTGAACGTAGCAGCTGGCGGTCTGGCCAATTCAGCTTGAACATGAAGGTCCTTCAATGCGGCCAGTGCCTCGTACTCTTCCAACAAGGCCGTCGCCTCCAAATGGCTCCATGTAGACACCAAGTCTCGAATAATTCTGCCATGGTCGCATGCTTTGGAGGAACGGCGTCTCCTGATAAATTTCTTGCGCAGCGTCGCAAATCCTGTCATCTTCTTCTTCTTCTCTCTATACATAAATAAACAACTATAAAAAGTTTAATGTGTGGTCGAGTCAGTGACTTACATCTTTAAATAATTATATATCTTATGAAAATATATATTTTAAAATACTACGTCATACATTATTTACAGATCTACGCTTTTTCTATGTATATAAAGACAGATTTCTTTTATATTATATTTAAGAAGTTATGTAATTTTATATGTACTCTTTAAAATAATATCTCAGCCATTTGTAAATTTAAATGCTGATGCTGTAAACATGTCGAACAGAGAGAAACGCAATTTATGGTAAAAAGAGCAAGATTACACTTTCTTTAAGAAATGAAATAAGCAATTTAAAAATAAATGAAAATAAACAATTGAATATTTGAATTATAATAAGACGTATAGTATTTTCGACAATGTCAGTAGACGTGTAAGAGGCGAATGGTAATATAAGAATATTGTAAGCTATATAGAACATTGATAATGTACCTAACTGCAATGCCATGTTGATCCGGACTGCTTGATGCCGAGAGTCTAGCTGCTTGGACCGAATCTCCACCTATACTGGTGACACTTGATGATGCAGAAGCACCCATTCTATGTATCATGTGAGAGGCATCTCCACGCTGTCTTCTCATAAACCAGGAATCCCTTTTGTCAATATTATCTATACCTTTTACGCGTCTGCGTTTCAACACACACGGCGTCAAGATACGAAGTACATTCATTGCTTACCCAGACGACAGCCTAAAATAAATCAATAAGTATTTAGTACTTTACATTCAATGTGTATCCAACTATAATATGTACATGCAATATTATTTCAATACAGTAAATACAACACTTGGTCTGTTCTTTATAGCAGCACTGCTGCTAACTTGCACGATAAGTTAGAGCGAGACAAGTATATTTTGTCACAATTAAACTGCTTTGACATTTGTTACAAAGATATACACACACATTCAAGATATATCACAAAAATATAACAATAAATAAGCAATCTATAGATCGGTAAAAAATATTACATCTACTACCACACTCATTTATTCATAATAAAAAATATATCCCTTTCGCTTACAGTTTCTCAGACAAATCTTTCAATTATATAACAACTAATATATGTACAAAATGTTTTTTTTTCTAGCAACATAATTATGAATTTCGACAGAGTTGCGTTACCATCATCGCTAAATTTATTAAAATTAATTAACTACTGTTCTAGAATGAGGATTTCCAGACGGTATAATAAGAACATTGACGTATCGAAAATGCGTGTTGAAGACGAGGGAATCTCCGTGAATTCTTCGGAAAAAGAAGACCCGGATGCAGCAAGAGAGAGAGAGAGAGAGAGAGAGCGAGCGAGAGAGACGAGAGTTTCACGAAATCAAACGTTACAAGATACGCGATGAACGCGGGAGGAAAAATGGAAAATCGCGAAGAACGTAAGCACGAGCGAACGCGCGCGGGGCGATAACAAGAGATCGCGATACCTACAATCCCGCCGCCGCCGTCGAAAGTGGATCCCACCTGACGAGGCGGCGAGCGCGTATACAACGAGGAGTCGTTTACCTGGGCCTCCGGGACCGGCGTCCTTCGTCCATATTACTCGACGCTTCCCCGTTCGAGCCGACACGGACGATCATCACAAAGCACGACGGCCATGTTTATACGGAGAGAGAGAGCGTAGCTGTACGTGCGTGCGTGCGTGTAAATAAAAGCGAAGGGATCGGCGACACGACGAGGCCGAGGATGACCGAAGGCATAAACTCGTTCGCTCGCTCGCTCGCTCGATCGAACGAACGAACGAATGAATCGATCTCAACGTGATGGTCAATTTCACATCGAACGCGTTAGAACGACGTTAGACGACGGCTGCGGGACAGCGTCGCTCGGCACGCTCGATGTCCGGTGTTCGTAAACAACCGAGTCAAGCAGCTTGTCATTTCGACGAGCGAAATTTCGCGGCTCATAGCGCGACTGAACGCGACGACGACGGAAGCGGTTCGTCGAGAATGCACGGCGCCGACAAGCCCGTAGGTATCACGGCGAGCATGTCGAAACGTTGAACGATGTCTCGGTGTTTACGTCAGTGACATCCGCGAGATAAAAGAATGGTTGTTTGGGGTCTGAGCAGACGCGTCGTCAGTGACGATCTCGCGAACTCTCGGTCGCGTTTCGGTGCTGAGAGACGGCACGTGCCAATCGCGCGACTCGCTTTCCGTCCTTGTTGCAATGTTATTGGACCGTTGCGCGAAGCGGGGCATGCAATGAGATTTCAGCTCTAAGCCTCAAGTGTCGGTCTACATTAAATATTTTAAGCCTTAAGCCTTAAAAAAGTCACCAATCATTTATTAATTAATTATTCTCTTCACACTCGACTGTGAAACGACTGTGATTGGTCAATTTCTTAAGGTTTAAAATCTCGGTTGTGGATCGTCACTATGAAGTCACCGGAACACGACGCTGGTTTTCGTGCTGGATTGCTAGATGGAAATACTGCGTTCTGATTGGTGTATTTCCAAAAATGGATGGCAATATACCAATCAAAACGCAGTACTTCTATCCAGCAAACAATCCAGCATGAAAACAAGCATCGTCTGTCGCTGGGTTAATACTGGTAGTAAATGGTGGAAAAATGGCTGCTGCCTTCAGACTTAGATACGCTGTTAAATTAGGGAGATATCTACCGAAATCATTCAATAATAACTTAGAAAAGAAATTATTCCAGCCGCAATGTCTACGGCTACCAGGTTTGTTAATCTCTTTCGCTGTATCATATGGAAATGCTTATCACATTTTCATTTGTCGTATGTTAAGGTTATACGTACACGTTGTTTTATGTATTTCTTTTATAATGATATAAATATTACATATTTATTGCATATAAACGCAGCTAAATGTAATTAATTATACATCAAAGTATATATTTAGATTATTTTTAACTTTACAGTTGCTACTTGCAATCATGTGAAATATTGGTCCTCGCAACCAGAGGTTCAAACTACAGAATATCACAATATCATAAAAGATACAGAGAAAACAACAGGTAATTTATATATATTTTTAAAAGTCATATCTATTTCTTGGTTTTATAATATAATAACAACTGGATGTACTTGTGCGTTGACGTTACAGGTGAAAGTGCCAAGCATGAGTTTCAATCAGAGACACAAATGTTACTGCAAATTGTGGCTAAATCTTTATATTCGGATAAAGAGGTAATATAATACCTATTTCTTGAAAATGTCTAGAATATGCTTTAGTATATACTTGATTAATTTTTTTGTATTAGGTATTTGTGAGAGAGCTCGTCTCAAATGCTAGCGATGCTTTGGAAAAACTAAGATATTTGAGGTTAAGCGACAATGTAGCTGCGCAAACTGCCGGTGACAGAAGCTTAGAGATACATATTGGCACTGACAAACAAAGCCGTATTCTTACAATTCAGGATACCGGTGTGGGTATGACCAGGGATGAATTAATATCCAACTTGGGGACTATAGCTCGGTCTGGTTCTAAGGCAAATATCGATAAATTTGTATATTTTATAAAATACGAAATAGATTATAAAAGAAAGAAGTCATGACGATGTATTTATTTCACAGGCATTTTTAGAAAAATTGAAGGAAGGTCAAAATTTAAATGACACTTCTAAAATTATTGGTCAGTTCGGTGTTGGATTTTATAGCGCTTTCATGGTTGCTGACAAAGTGGAGGTATTCACAAAGTCATTTGCGAAAGATGCCGAAGGTCTCTGTTGGATTTCCGATGGGTATGTAATAAAAGTATAATTATTCAATATTTAAAACGTCACCTGAGCACGATTTATCTATTTATCTATCTGTAGATCGGGCACATTCGAGATATCAAATGCTGATGGTGTACAACCAGGCACAAAAATTGTTATATATTTGAAGCCGGATTGCCGAGAGTTTAGCGACGAGAATACAATCAGTCGTAAGTGTATTAGCAAGCAAATATATATATAGGATATTCAGCGTAACGCGGTCCGCACGATTTTTTCCGAGATGCTTCCATCACTTAAAAAAAAAAAAAGATTGTGTTTCGAACGCTCAGACGGGTTGTAGAAACGAGCGTCAAGTTTAAGCCCGGAGAGCGACCTATTTTCGTCAAATCGAGGTTACGTTGAGTCTTTTTAGTGTCACCACGTAATTTTTCTCTACAATATCGTAGAGGACTTTAAAACGAATTCGACGTGTTATCGGGAATGTCACTTTAATCGATGTTTAATATCAAACACTGTGTGTGTGTGTGTGTGTGTGTGTGTGTGTGTGTGTGTGTGTGTTGTGTGTGTGTAATATATATTTATGTCTTACATTTTCGTTTAACAATTGTTAAATGTGGTTAATTCGCAGGTGTCATCAATAAGTATAGCAATTTCGTCGGCAGTCCCATATTCATAAATGGCAAGAGAGCTAATACGATTCAGGTATCGCGAGAAAACATAACAACTGTTGTTTCATCCTCTGCTATATTCCTAACCTTTGAAATAAATGCTCTCCTTCACAGCCGCTATGGATGTCCGATCCGAAAGATATCACGCTGTTGCAACACGCCGAGTTCTATCGATTCATAGGGAATTGCATCGATGCACCACGATTTATACTGCATTATTCGACGGACGTGCCATTGAGCATCAAGGCTCTGTTATACTTCCCAGAGGAGAAACCTGGGCTATTCGACTTGGCGAGGGACACTGCGAGCGGGGTGTCACTTTACAGCCGGAAAATTCTGATCAAGAGTAAGGCGGAGAATATCTTACCGAAGTGGTTGCGTTTCATAAAAGGAGTGGTTGATTCAGAGGACATACCGTTGAATTTAAGCCGTGAGCTGCTGCAAAATAGCACATTGATTGGGTGAGAACCGATATCCTACTCGATGTTCTCGTTGTCTTGCTTTATTATTATACAAAATACATAAAGATGTAAAGATAAATGTAAAGATCAGCGGATAAGTGTTTCTTTTATAGGAAACTACGAAGCGTACTGACAGCGCGTATATTAAAATTCCTGCACGAGCGATCTGCGAAGCAGCCTGAGGAGTATAATGAGTTTTACAAATCCTACGGCTTGTTCTTGAAGGAAGGAATTATCACCAGTACCGATCAGTCCGAGAGGGTAACGATTAATAATTGCATCTCGCACGAGTATCAGTGATTTATCGCATATATGACTTGTCAATCTCTCGTGTCACAGGAAGATATTGGCAAACTTCTGCGCTTCGAATCGTCCGCCGCCGCGCCAGGTGAGCTGATCAGTCTGCCGCAATATTGCACTCGTCTGGCGGCAAATCAGAAGGATATATATTATTTGTCAGCGCCGAGGTAAAGTGTGATACGCAAACGCGCTATTCGCCTTCAATATTGATCGACAATCAACCAAATTCGCCGTTCATCTTGCAGCCGAGCTTTGGCCGAGCAATCGCCGTATTACGAATCTTTGAAGAAGCGAAATATCGAGGTGTTGTTCTGCTACGAGCCGTATGACGAATTAGTGTTGATGCACCTGAAACAATATAAATCTAACTTCTTGACGTCCGTGGAGAAAGAAATGCGCGACGATGCGGAGGCGAATAAGCCGGAGAATTTTGGTGAGAAACAAATGAAATAACGTTCACAGATTACTTGAGAACTTGATTACGTTTTTACTAACCTTTTGCCAACGCAGGTCTCATAAGCAACAAGGACGAACTGGATAGTCTCGTGAGCTATATGAAGAAAATCCTTAATAAGAAGGCGTACGACGTTAAGATGACGAATCGCTTGGAATCGCATCCGTGTGTCGTGACTGTGCAGGACATGGCGAGCGCGAGGCATTTCATTCGCACGCAGAGTCATCAAATGAACGAGGAGATGCGTTACTCCATCCTTCAGCCACGTTTTGAAATCAACCCGAACCATCCGCTCATCAAAAAGCTATGCAAGCTGACGACCACGGACGGCGAATTAGCTGAACGCCTGATACAGCAGGTACGTAGGCGCCGGCGAGATCGTTTTGAAATCGCGCGTTTTCCAACTACCGATTTATCGTAATATTCAAGTGAATAATTATTTATTATCGTAGCTATTTAACGGCGCCATGGTTGGAGCTGGCCTGATCGAGGATCCTCGCATATTGTTGACACCAATGAATGAGTTACTTACGTTGGCATTGCAAAAATATTAATAACTGATGTTAATATTGAAGGAGAGGGATTGTAGCGATATTCTTTTTAACGCGATATCATTGATGAGGATTGGATGTATTAGGAATTCGTATTAAATATACCGACAAGTCCATTTTGTTGTATATGTATATGTAATAATAAGATCAATAGATTAGTTAATAAATAGGTATAACTTATCGTAGGCAAGATTGGTTTCTTTATTACAATAAGTTGATCTTGTACAAATTAATTATAGCCTTACAATAATAACAAGTCAAGTTCCTCATTTTCTTTCTGAAAAAGTTCTCATGATATCGATATGTATTCTATCAGCAGGGCTAGATGTTATGACGAATTTAGAAGTTGTACCCACGTTTCCCGTTATTTTTTTTCCACGATCTGTCTGTTAACGAAAAAAAAAAAAAATCGTAGTTTCCTCAAATTGTGTAACCGCAACTGGTAAACAATAAATAATTTCATAAAATTATTTATTCCTCACTTTCTTCCTGTCCTAATTTTCTTTTTTTCTTTTCGTCACTTTCAACTCGCCTACGTAAGTAGGCCTAAAAGCGATAATTTAGGAGATACTGTGAAATTAATCGTCTCCAGAAATCATCTTATACATGCTTTCGATCAATTCCGATTGCCTGTAATTACGCAACTATCAAAAATTAATAGTTATCGCTTTTAAGCTAATTCACCGGTAGGAAATCCTAAGAGATGAGTCCTTGCGATTTTCGTAAGGTCACTAAATGATTCGTACGCTATTTATAAAAAAGTCCGCTGTCACATCCAACCTACTTTACAGTCTTTGACCAATGCGCTTCGTCGTGTTTTTGCTTTTTTTCTGTTTTTAAATAAAATTAAATACGTTAAGATTTATCCGTGCTTTCGTTACTGACTGAAACTTTATATCCGTTCATCGATGCGCCGAATTCGACACAACGACCGGTAAAGACCGAACTGTCGTCGAACTTTTCCTTTTAACGCCATTCTAATATAGAATGAATCGCCAACGTGCCGTCATATATCCGCACCGGCGCGATGTAAAAAATTTCAGAAAGTAAGCAGCACAGCTGATTTTAACTTATAAGGACGAGAGACGATGGCTTTTGCTCTTGGTCAACGTAAAAAATCACCCTGTTTAGCGTTTATCATTAGTGCGATTCGCATCCTACGGAACAGGATAGCTGGCGTCCTTCACGGAACAGGAACATAAAATTCAATCTGTCAACGAAATTGTCTACGTATGTATATGTATAAAGGGGGGGGGGGGAAGAACGTGTATACCTCACCCCAGGTAAGCTGCCGCTATATATCCGTTATAACGAACGTACGCTAAAGTGGAAGTGACAATGAGAGTAAAAAAGGCCTTAGGCGTGTAATAGATTGTTCCTTGATCCTCGGCTTGTAAAGATTAATCGAAGAAAAGAATGCATTGCTTTCAATATGGCATTAAGAATTAATTGGCAGTTTAAAAAGTATCTCATTATATTATATGGGCATGTTTCTATGTGAGAGAATGATACACATGAGATGCGAGTGGCGGATGGTGAGAAGGAGCGACGATGAATAGCGAAATATACCTCTCGCGCCGCTGAGCAGTCTTATTAAAGAGAGTAGATGGATGATAAAGCGCGATGTATATAAGTAGCACCATGTATACAAATTTATCGGTCGTACCTGATGGTGACTGAGACGAATGCTGAGAGGATAAAAGACAAAGGAAAAGAAGAAAAAAAAAAGGTTAAATAAACAGAACGTTGACTTAGCTTACGTATACGCGGAGAGGAGGACGTCGCGCCCCTTCCATTTCTCTTCATCTTTTTTTTCTTTTCTTTAAATTTCTGTTATAAAACGTCGGATAATTAACATTGCAATTGTTATATGATACAAGTCATAGTTATTTGATCATCGTATAAACATTATTATCATCACAGTAAAAATATTTCATATCTTTTTAAACTATTAACCTGTGCCTCACTGTAATAGATGCGCGCGTATGCGCGTAGCCACGCGCGTATTCGGCCGCGCGTCAGTTAAAAACGCGGGCAGCTCTTCGCTCCCTTTCACTAGAGTCCATTTACTTACGTACTAAGTCCCTACTACTTTTCCTTACGCGTTATATGCATTATAATTAAGTAGTCCGTCGGTTCATTTTTTTTTCTCTCTTTTTATACGTAACCAAAATAAAGTCGGTTAGCAAATAGTAAAAATACGCAAATGTACCCTATGTGTATCTTTTCGCACTGGAATTATAGTTGCAGATTAACACGTTAAGTTTAAACGATAGGATCATTAAACAATAGTCATTGGTCTGACGATGCGGTCGTGATTAACTTTTATCGTTCTCGAGTAATAAATCCCTCTCTCCTTAAATCGAGATAATTTCTTATGCATGTACACGTTCGCGGTTTCCACCATCTATTTTTCTCTAGTGAGCCCCTCTCTCTCTCTCTCTCTCTCTCTCTCTCGTATCCTCTTGGTAGAGTAAAGAAGAAGAATCGTTATCGCGTTCTCTCAAGATGAAACACTATACTGAGGACAAAATATCGATATATACGTACGGCGCCATTGCTTAACGTACAATTATAATTTATATTTCCCGATCGAACATATATATATATATATATATATATATATAAAATAGTGAGAGAGCGCGCTTTCGCGTATCGATACCTCGCGGCTGAGAAGACGCAACTTAGTAGCGGAAGTAAAAGAAACCTTTCGTTTCTTTCCACCGAACCATAGAGACTGCGCATTGCACTTGGCGCGTTATTATAACGAAACAACGAGTTCGGATGATATAAGAACGCAACCTACGTAATAAAAACGAGAGAGAAATGAACGGTCCTTCTCGATATGGCGTGACATTGACGCGTACGTTGATCACGATCTGCAAGATACGTGACGACAGGGCGACCCTCGCAGGATTAAGTACGCTTGAACTCTACACCCATGGTAGCAGGAGAGATTTGAGGCGTGATGCATCCCCGTGACGATACACAACGTACGCAGCTGGGGCAGCTCTCGCGCAACCCTTAAAACATCGTAGCTGCCTGTACAGATTGTCCTACTTATGGCGGTAAACACCTATGTACAAAATCGCATATTCACAGACATCCGCTCGTCTCGATCGTAGAAGCACAGAGAAACACGCTCGCACGTTTCAGTCTATTCTGCGGCACCACCATCGTCATTCGTCACACTGAGGTCTGCGTGATGCCGTTCCCGGACAGCCACAGCCGGCCGTTGCTCTTCTGCTCCGCGATCTCGTACTCGGAATCGTCGATCTCGCAGAGATTCGTGGAGAGATCGCTGTTGCTGGTCGCGCCGCCCAACAGCGAATTCCTCTCCTCCAGCGTGGTGATGACCGAGCCGATCTCGTCCGCCTCGTCCACCTTGTGGCACCGGTTGCGGCGGCGGGTGCTCGGGAAACCGTAAGGCACTACATCGTCATCCTCCTCCTCCTCGTCGGACTCTAAAGTGCTGAGACGGCCGTTCAGCGGGTTCGTCTCGTTCTCGGTGTCGGTGTGAATGTTGTAATGCGGTAGGTACGAGTTCGGGTGCCGGAGGTAGCTCTCGGAGCTCTTGTACTTGTACTCCCCCTCGCAGCCGCTGTCGAGAGGGTTGAGACGCTGCGTCTCCGCGCAATGATACTGCTCGGAGAACTCGGTCCCGCATTCGGAATCGCCGACATACTCCGACTCCTGATCCTCGTTTAGAGTCTCGATGTCCCTAGTCGGGTCTATTGGACCGTGTACTGTAAACGAGCAGTGTATTGACATGTGTTAACGAAAGACATCGAGAGCACGTACTATTGCGGGTTGCATTTCACGCCATGCGTGGGAGATCTGGCCATGGTTAATGACGGCTTTAATTAGTCGCCCTTCATTTGTCGTGTACTTGTCGTGATGTTAATACACAAAAACAATGTTAACCATATGTATATGCTTCCTCTATTTTTAACATCTCTCACAATCTGCTGGTAATTCATCGGACATTTCACAGGTATGAGTGTTAACGCGAAACAACGACGACTCTGTTCGAAACGAGTTCCAAGAGTCTGATAGCTAATAATAGGATTTGCAAACGTATCAATGTTTACGGTCGGTCATGCAAGAGGCGAGGAACTAACGCACATGCGCACACTACGTAAACTTACTTGATGGTAACTGATGAGTATTAGACTCGTTGCTCTCATTGCTGTGGAAGCTGGACGAGTCCGGGACCTCGCTGCCAGGCACTTCCGTGATATTGGGCAAAGGGTTCTGGCTTCGCCTGACCCAATCTGAGCAGTCCCAATGATACCCTAAAAGCATTGCAGACGACGACTGTACTTCGACACACACACCACATGCGATGCAGTATAGTGATGCAGTAAAGAGGAAGCTGGCGACGGTAAGAGGGGGAGGGGGGGGGGGGCGCTCAATTGGAGACAGTACAAGCGAAGAAGCTGGTTGACCCCGCGGTGACCGAGAAATCGCGCAGTTTGCAAGACTCTGGCTGTCGATTAACTTCCGTGAATCTTCTCGACGGTCACGGTCTCTTCGTACAATCTCCGTGCACGGAGAAGAGAAACACCGATTGAACATCGACATGACGATGAACGAAATTGTTTTGATCGGAGGAAAAAAACAGAATTTCCGGGGTTGACCGGTCTTTTTTCTCCGTGTACGTCTCGTGAAATTGAACTCGTCTCGTTAACTCGGTACTTGACAGGAAGAAGAGGCTGCACGCGATTTGCTGGACCTGGTCAATCTCGCGATACCTGCGGGCTGTCTCTTCGACTTACCGCCAACGATGCGAGGATCATCCTCGATGGATGTGACGGAGGCGACGGAGGAAGACCCAATCGCGTGAGGTAGCCGTCGGGAGGAATTTAGTAGAAGTCCTCCAGTGGTCAGCTCCGGTACCACTGGGCTCGCTCGTTTCAGGTCTGTTAGTGCACACAATACGAATACGCCGGTGTTAATAGAATTCACTACACACGCCCGAGCACGCAATGGAAAACTGAGAGATAGAGAGGAGTGAGATAATAAGAAGAATTTACCAAGGGGAGAGACGGAGAGGGAGAAAGAAACCCCCGGATGAGAATGAACGGGGAAGCGCGCCAAGTGTTCATACGACGCATGCCGCAAGCAAAATCAAAAGTAAGAAGCTACCGGACGGGAGGGAGGGATGTACTTGTCACTGTTGCGCCGTGCGTCACTCACCGTTCTTGATCTTGGTGGTATCGGTTATGAAGGAAGCCAGCTGCATCTGCTCCTGCCAGGTGGGCTTGTGCAGGCTGTCCGTGTCGCTGCCGGTCGCATTCCCACCGACCGGGTTAGTGAGGGTCAAGGACGGAGGTGGTACGGGAGTACTGCGGTTTAGGTTTCTCAGGTAATCCGGCGGGAAGTTCTCCAACTCGTCGCCCGCGCTGCCGTAGCTGCGCAGAGTGTCCAAGTTATTCAGAGCCGCCGCCGCCGAGTTACCGTACGCGGCCGGCTCGTTGTTCGAGCTTGGGGTGTAGGAAGCGGGTCTGGGAGGACATTGGGGAGGTTCTCTCTGTAAAAGAAGAATCACACGAAAAACCTTAAACAGGATGCCGCGTGAGAGCGTGGAGGGGACGTATCACCGATCGGCCGATCGGTCGCAAAACAAAAAGAAAACAGCACCACGATGCGGAGTACCGTAAAGAACGATGAAAAAAGCATGATTCGCGTCAACCGTGACGAGAAGTGTCCGTCTCGATGTCTCCTCCCTTGTAGAAGTAGAGTAGGAAACACAAGCCGATGTCGCGATAAATGCCTTCGCGGACGAGTGCGTAGCTCTCGAGAGCAATCATGCTTCTATAGCGCACGGCGATTAAGATGGTTGGTCCGTAAGACTGTTTTCTCAGAAGTCTTTTGAAACTTCAACAGCACATTAATCGAAACATATGCGATGTAGGAGAAATTTGACAATATAGTGCTGAGATAATCGAAGTTTGCGTATTATTTCCATGCATCACAGAGGTACGAAAGCGAAGCACCTGTTCCGATATCGCGACTTTTTCATTCTGATGAATTCTAAACTTACGGTCTTCAGGGGAAAACGGGGAGAAGACGATAGAAAGAGACTTGGAAAAATATGATAAAAAAGACGACGAGATCGTTTTCAAACATTACGTGTACATGTGATGTTTTCTCGCTGATGTCAAGGCTGCACGTTACAAATATCGTTTGATAAATATTCAACAGAGATTCGGGGCTGCTTCGTACCAGCCAGCACCTTTCGAAAAGTATCGGGATTACGGACCAACTATCTCGAGACATAAATCGATCGCGATGATGATACCTGTATGACTTCCAGATTGCTGAGCTTCGAGCTGCGCTTGAACTCGTGTTCGGACGGCCTCGCGGAGTTCAGGACGATCTGCTTGCGCGTCTCGTTGTTGATATTGTCGGCGCGCGCTCTGGTCCGCTTGAGGCGAAACTGCCGGAAAGCGACGAATATGAGGACGACGAAGACGTTGAGCAGTAAGACGCCACCGATCCACATCATAAGTTCCCACGTGAAGTTGAAGTGGCTGGATACAATCGGGGTGGAGTAAGCGGGGTTGCCGCAGTTGAGGCCGGTCATGTTCGGCGGGCAGATGCAGTGGTAAGTGCCGTTCTCGTTGACGCAGGTGCCGCCGTTCGCGCAGGGGCTCGCCTCGCACTCGTTCACGTCGGTCTGGCAGCGGTCGCCGGTGAAGCCCTGGCACTTGCAGATCGGCCCGTTGTTGCCCTCCTCGCAGACCCCGCCGTGGATGCACGGGTTCGGGCTGCAGTATCGGCCGAACTCGCAGCGTTTGCCGGTGAGACTCGGGCCGGCGCACTCGCACGAGTAATCGCCGCTCTCCCGCAGGACCTTGCAACGTCCGCCGTAGAGGCAGGGCGACGAGGCGCAAGGATCGGTGTCGATCTCGCACGCCAGGCCGGCGAACCTGCTGTGACACTGGCACTCGTAACCGTCTTCGGCGGAGTCTTTGCAGGTGCCGCCGTTCTGGCAGGGCTGCGAGCCGCAGATGCCGGCTGGCACCAGGATGGTCGCGGTGTCGCAACTGAACTCGACGTTCGCGAAGCGCTTGAGGACCGCCACGCTGCTGGCGCCGCTCATGTGCAGCGGCACGGAGACCCGGGCGATCCTGACGTCGTCCATGCAGCCGACGAAGCCGCGCTGGACATCCTCGAAGCCGATGATCGACGGGTGCTGCCTGACCTCGGCGCCCAGGTAGAGGTCGTCCGACTGCAGATTCAGGATGTCGTTGATACCGGGCGCCGAGCCGTGCGCGACGTGCCCGTCAACGATCAGCCGCGCGTTGTTGCTCTCCCGCTCCAGTTTGACCTCGTGCCACTGGCCGTCGCTCACGTACACGCTGCTCACACTGACCAGGCCCTCGCCGCTGCCCAGGTCGAATTTGTACTGCATCACCCCGTTCACGATCTCCAGGATGTTGTAATCCACCTTGCCGGCGGCGTACATCAGATTGCCGGTGGGCTGGACCGTCCGTATCCTCAGGGACAGGTTGAGCCGGTCCTCGATCGTCTGCCGTATCAGCGCCTTGTCGATCTTGTACCGGGCGTAGCTCTTGCCGCTGAAGGATATCGGGTTCCGCGGTATGTAGCAGGCCTTGTCGTGACACTTGGACATGTCGATGTCGCAGATCTGACCGGCGAATCCCTCCGGACACTGGCAGGAGTAGCCCTGCACGGAGGAGTCCGGCACGCAGACCTTGAACATCGGGCAGGGCTCCCGGGCGCACTCGTTCACCACCACCTCGCAGTGAGTGCCGGCGTAGCCCTCCTTGCAGCTGCACTCGATCGTGTGCTTGTGCCGCGGCGACACGAAGCTCATCACGTCCGTGGCGACGGGCGTGATCAGCTTCGGCTCGAGGACGATCCTGTCCTGGCACTCGCCGTAGAAGCAGTAGCCCTTGCTGCACTTGAACCGGACGATCTCCTCCACCACCAGCTTCGTCGACTCCTCCAACTCCTCCAAGTGCTGGTTCAGCGATTCGCGCACGGTCTCCGAGGCGTGGAAGCCCGACGCCGGGGGCTTCTTCACGGCGAAGAGGAGGTCGAGGTCGTTGTGCACCGCTTGCCGGACGGCTCGCGACTTTATCAGGTTCGCCTCGTCGCTCGACGGCTGCACGCTGATGATGACGATGTCTTTCAGCCTGCAGTTCATCGCGTTGCGAACCGTGCGGACGAAGCCCTTGCGATGGCTCAGAATGAAGTCTTCCGGGCTGACCTCCCGGAATCGCACGATCACCGAGTTCTCCAGCATCTTCTCCGTCACCAGGTCGACGTTCACCTTTACGATCGAGTACGAATGGAACTTGCCGTCCGTCACGCTCACGTTCACTCTGTACTCGCCGACGTCGAGCCTCGGCAGAGCCACCAGAGTGCCGTCGACCTCGTGTATTTGGAAGAGATCGTTGTTCGGAACGAGGGACGGCGCCAAGCCGAATACGAGCGTGTCGTACTGGTCTTGGTCGGTCGCGTGAACTTGCCCGATGATCCCGCCGGGGTACTCGTCCATGTAAGAATTGATGACCACTTCCAGGGGCGTAATTACCGGCGGGTACTGCGACTCCTCGATCACCTTGATTACAACCCACGCGTCCGACCACAACGGCGGGCTGCCATTATCGAACACCCGGACGTGCAGTACGTACTTATCCTTCACTCTGTTATTAAATTTCGTCGCCGTGCGCAGCGTGCCGTCCTGCTCCAGCCGGAAGGCGTCGCCCTCGTTCCCGGAGCGAAAATCGAAGGTGTAAGGCTCGGCGTTCGGCTCGGTGTCCGCGTCGGTCACCACGAATTCCAGCACCGTGTGGCCGAGCGGCTTGTCCTCCTGCACGACCGCCGTGTAATTCGGCAAGGAGAACAACGGCGGATTGTCGTTCGCGTCCATCACCTCGATGTTCACCATCACGAAGCTCGAGAGCACCGGTATGCCGCTGTCTCGCGCGTGCACCTCCAGCACGTAGCCCGCGATCTGAAGAGAGAAAGTCGAAAGTAGAACTCTCGCGCGATCCAACCACCTCTACCAACCTCTTCTCGGTCCAACGGCGCCGCCACGCTCATCTGCCCGGTCTTGCTGTCGATGGAGAACTGCTTCTGCCTGTCGCCCCGTTCTATGTAATACGACACGTTACCGTTCTCCTCGCTGTCCAGATCGTTCGCGTAAACCTGCGTGAAACGAGATCGAACGTTACGTTGCTTCGTCGTCGCAGCGACGCGGAGAGGGGGGGGGGGGGGAAGAAAACAANAACTCAACTCCTGTAAACTCCTGTGAATAGAACTCGGCTGATGAGAAATGCAGACGAGGTGACGAGGATCGTAAGGTGTGATCCCTCACTTCGTCGTTTCGTTTGACAGTGAGCGAAACGTTGAACTCGCAAGACAAGAGTGAAAGATGTACCGAAGAGTACTTCTATCTTTAAGACGCGCGCGCACACACCTGCACAACTTTCTCCCCGATCTTCGCATCCTCCCTCACAGCGGCTCTGTAGGAGACCTCGCTGAAGATGGGCGCGTTGTCGTTGCTGTCGGTGACGGTGATGTTGACGGTGGCGTGGTTGCTCAACGGCGGGATGCCGCCGTCGACCGCCTGGATGGTGAGGAAGTAGTCACGCGCTCGCTCGTAGTCCAGCTGTTCCGCGATGGCAACCACGCCCGTTTTCGCGTCGATCTGGAACTTCTTGTGCTCGTTACCGCCGACGATCGAGTAGTATATGTCAGCGTTCACCCCCGTGTCCTTGGAGGTGGCGAGGACCCTGGCGACCTCGGTGCCGACCGCGTAGATCTCCGGCACCTTCGCGAAGTAGACCTTGGAAGCGAACTCGGGCGGATTGTCGTTGATGTCCTGCACGTTGACGATGAGCGAGGCGATGCCCATCAGCTGCGGAGTGCCCTGATCCAACGCCTGCACGGTCACGTTGTACATGGCCTTAGTTTCCCTGTCCAACGGCTTGCCGAGGGTGACTATGCCGCTGTCAGGGGCGACGAAGAAATGCCCGTCCGCGGAATCGACGAACTCGTAACGGATCTTCCGGTTGATGCCGATATCGTCGTCCGTCGCGTGCACCTTCGTCACCAACGTGCCGACCTCCACGTCCTCGGGCAGGGTGCTGCTGTAAGTCTGCATGGTGAATCTCGGCGCGTTGTCGTTCAGATCGGAGATGAGGATCTCCAGCTGCGAGGAGCACTCCCACATCGGCTTGTCGCGGTCCTGCACGTGCGCGGTCAGCGAGTACCTGGCTTGGCTCTCCCGGTCGAGTTGCCCGACGGTCTTCAACACGCCCGTCTCCTTGTCCAGCGAGAACTTGTCGTTGCTGTCGCCGGTCAGGTAGAAGCGCAGCTTAGCGTTCGGCTCGTCGTCGTAGTCGGTGGCCAGCACGGTGAGAACGTAGGCGCCGGGATGCGAGCCCTCCGACAGCACCTCCCTGTAGCGATATCGCAGGCAATACGGCGGGTTGTCGTTCACATCCAATATCTGCACCGTCACCCTCGTCTCGAAGACGTATTTCCCATCGGTACCGACGATCTCGAGCTCGTAGCGATCGATCGTCTCCCTGTCCAACGGTTTCGCGACGTACACCTCGCCGGTGGATCTGATCTGAAATTGCGACCTGGGGTCGCCGGACGTTATGTAAAACTCGATCGGCGTGTTGACGTCGGAGTCCTTGTCGACGGTGACCAGCTTCACCACGACTGTGCCTGGCAAGGCGTCCTCGTTCACCGTCGCCTCGTAACGATCGTCGATAAACATGGGGGAGTTGTCGTTGTAGTCCTTTAATTTCACGTGCACCGACGTCCTCGCGAAGTGCTTCGGGTTCCCATTGTCCGTCGCGACGACCTGGAAGCAAGAATTCGTTCGTCCGAACGAAATCTCATGTCTCTCTTGTAACGCAGCTTACCTGAAATTTATACTCCGGCTGCTTCTCCTTGTCGAGCTGCACCAGCGTTGATATCCAGCCGGTGTAAGCGTCCACCGTGAACACGTTCGCTAATTCCCCGATGTCGGAGCCGAAGGAGTAACGAACCTCGCCGTTGCTGCCGAGGTCCTTGTCGTGCGCGATCACCTTCAATATCGACGTCCCCTCCTCGATGTTCTCCGCCAAGCTGATCGCGTACGGGTTGCTCTCGAATTTCGGCGCGTGATCGTTCTCGTCCAACACCTGAAGTGAGATCTTAGCGAGGGCTGTGAGCGGCGGGCTGGAATCCGTCTCGGCGAGGACGCCAATTAAATGGCTGTCCTTCAATTCCCGGTCTAATGGCCTCGCGAGAGTAATTTGGCCGTGAGAATCGATCGTGAAGAGCGGGTTATCCTCGTCGCCGGATATTATGCGATACGTCACGGTGCTGTTAGTGACGGTTTTCAGCTTCGTGATCGGCGTGCCGATAGCCGAGGCTTCGCTTATAAAGAACTTGTCTTCTTTCCGTTCGAACAGCGGCGCCATATCGTGCGGACCCATTATGTAGATGCTGAGCGGCACATCGGCGTGATGTGTACTCGTGCCTTTGTCCTCCGCACGGATAAACAGCTCGAATAATTGGTTTTCTGGAAATAACAAATATACCTCCGTGACGGCGTTTGTCTCCGTATAACCTGCGCTATACTGACTGGGTATTTCGCTAGGTTTTGAGTACCCTCAGTATTATCCGGATATATCATGTCAACAGATATCGTCAAAATAATAACGAGTAAGTAGTTGCGACGGTATTAATGGCGAGGAATCCTTAAGGTAGTTGGTCGGTAAATTTCTCTTCTTCTTTTCAAATCTCACACGACGTATTAATTCATTTATTAATTGTTATTATTAACTCATCTTAACAGCGTATTAACGGAAACATGTCATACACATATGTGTAGAATTAGAAAAAAAGGTGAAGTCGTACCGAAGCTGAAATGATTGAAGTCAGATTGATTTGAAATTTATCACAGATACGAAGACACTACCTTGAGAAAAAGGAAAGCCAATAGGAACATTGCATCATCCGCGTTAACTGGGCGAGAAATATATTTCGGCCTCTTACCGGCGCTCGCGGCGCTCTTCAGTAGAAAGAGAGCCCCCGTGTCGGGATTGATACCGAAGAGGGACCTGGTGGGCGACGTTTGCGGCTCGTAGATGGAGTAAACGATCTTGGCGGCCTCGTCCTCGTCCGCGTCTTGCGCCCTGACCCTCAGAAACGGCGTGTTCGCGGACAGGTTGCTCTGGATGGTCGCTTTGTACTCGCGCAGGAGGAAGACCGGCGCGTTGTCGTTCTCGTCGCCGACCTTGACCCGCACCATCACAAATCCGGATCTACCGCCGCCGTCCGTCGCCATCACCGGTATCTCGTGCCGCTTCTGCTGCTCCCGGTCGAGCCTCTTGCGCGTCACGATCTCGCCGGTCAATTTATTGATATCGAACATCTCCCGCATCGTTTCCGACATTATCGTGTACATCACCGCGCCGTACTCCCCGAAGTCCTCGTCCACGGCCAGGACGCTGGTGACCAGCCTGCCCGGTAGCTGATTCTCCAAGACCGTCACCTCGACCACCGGGTTCGGGAACTTGGGATTGTGCCGGTTCGCCGGCAGGATTTCGATTTTTACGCGGCTGAAGCTGGTGTACACGCCGTCGGTCACGGATACGTTGAGCATGCTGAGCTTCTGTTCACCGAAGTTTTGCATGTTTATGAGCGAAATCACGCCGGTCGACTGGTCGATGTTGTAAGTCTGCTGCTCATTACCGCCTACGATGGTATACGTCAGCTTCTCGTCGACGTAGTCGGGATCGCTCGCCGATACCACCGTGACGAACTGCCCGCGCTCGGCGTGCTCCGAAAGCGAGCAGGTGTACGACGGCTGCTCAAACTTCGGCGGGTTGTCGTTCATGTCGATCACGCTCACCCAGACGTGCGCCGTGCTCGACAGACTGGGAACGCCGCGATCCATCGCGATCACCGTGAAATGATGGGACTCGCGGGTCTCGTGGTCCAGTGACCGCTTGAGAAAGATCACACCCTCGTCCGGGTCGATGTGGAACAGCTCCGTGCTGTTCTCCGTGTCGTTTTGTATGGCGTACCGGACCTTCTGATTTATGCCTGCGCCACGACCAAAAGGAATCTCAGTCCCCGCGATCGAATAGACTCGCATTGATAGAAACATACTTGTAACTATACGCTATAGTTGCCGTATTATAACCAGGAGAACGTTTCTTCTTCCTTACCATAGCGAGTCAGTGATAATCTTACATGCATAGTATAGTAACACCTATTAGAAAAATAGTTCTCTCAACTATGTAACTTCTTTCATCACGACGATTATCCTTACAAATGCTAAATATTTTTCCGGTGTAAACAGCGGGAAATTCAGTTACACCAACTGAGTTTTGTTTGTTTCTTTTTTTCTCGTGTGGAAGGACGAGAACTTGCGAAATATCCGAGAGACGTGGTTTAATACTTCTCGCTCTCTCTTTCCTCCCCCCCCCCCCCCCCCC